AAGTTTTACGTCTTATTTTGAATTTTTTAAGGGTGGCTTGGAAGAACTAATTGCATGTGCTTCTGAAAATGATGGCGAAATCCGAGATCAAGTATTTTGGACTCTTGGAAACATCGCTCTTGACTGTTCACTTTGTCGAACAAAAGTAGTTTTTTGAGTGTTTAACACTAAGAAGCATTCGCAAAATTGTGTAATTAGTTTATATGCAATTTTATAGTGGTAGCATGAATATACGCTGATATGTTAGTGATGAACAATACTTAAGGTACGTGAAACTATAGCACTACCGTTAATGATCGAAATGCTAGTCAGTCCCGCGTTTATAGATTCAAAGTGGAAACACAATCTTGTCTGGGCTTTATCACAAATTGTGCGTGGTGGTATTCATACACTTGATATAGTGGTATGACATACATTTTTAATCTTACAAAATAAATGCAGTATCTTTAGAATACCTAGAACTTCTTGAAGAACTGTTTCCTGCAAAAGATTTCGAATTTTATCAATAAATTTTGATGATAAATAAAAAACTGAATGCAGAAAAAACAAGAAATCTTAGCATTCCTTGAGAAAACTTTATAGAATAAGTCATTGCTAAATATGAAAATATATGAAATTATTACTAGAAAGCTGTGTAATTAACAGTATTTGAATATAAACAATAAGATCATGATTTGATTGAAGAATCAAGATTTGCTTATTAGAAAGCTGAAATATTATAATTTATAATTTTTTTCCACATTAAAATAAACATAACCGATCACTTTCGTGAAATATTTTTAGTTCGTGCAATCAGCCTTGAGAGGCCTGTGCTCAGTGCTACATTTAGGTGATTCAAAATTGAAAATTGATGCAGTTTGGGCAATAGCGTATATAGCTGATGATGCTGTTGGTGGTATTCAGGTAAAAACATATCTTAACTTAGAGAATCTCATCAAGGAATATTTTTTGATCATTTGAGTGGATATCTTTTGAATGAGTTACACTCACTCAACCCTGTGTTTTAACGTGACTTTTTAGAAAAAGGTTAGAGCGATGTCTTTAAGATCCTACTAAAATCTACGTTTTTGATTTCACTTGTGCAAACTGATCATAAATAAGTTTTTAATCTGGATTTATTAATAGCATTTATTTCTTCACTCGCCTACATGGTTCCATTCATGCAATAGCTCATCATTTTTGCATAGACAAATATTGCAATAACAGTTATTTCCTAGCCTAAGATCATGAAACTGCTTAGGATGGAATTTTTTTCGGACAAACGAAATCGAAATCACGGTGACTGTTGTTTTACTAAACATGAGATTATTTGCTTAAATGTGATGCATACAATATTCATTTGCGAAAAATGTATTTTTTCAAATTTATACAGATTGATGCAGTTCTTCATACCCCACAATTGCTGCACCAATTATTAGAGCTTGTAGAATGCAAAGAAACCAGACGTCCTGCACTACGAGCTCTCGGAAGTCTTGTCGCGGGAGGTGACGATCAAACACAAATAGTTCTCGATGCTGGCTTATTGCCACGTGTCGTATGTTTCGTATAATTTTTGAAGATAATGATATCAAAAAAACGAATAACAAATTGTGTATGATACATTGCAGAGTATTATATTGCAAGTCTTAAGGATGAAAAAATAAAGACCAAATTGGTTTTTTAAAGTGCGAAGAAAAAAACTGTTTCAAGTTAGGGTTTTGATAAAGTATTGTATTTCTTTAGCGATTAACCGAAAGCTTTTTATACAAGTTTTATTTTCCTCATAAAAAACATTTTTCTTGACTGTTCAAAAAACTATTAATAACTTGCACTTCCTTTATTTTACGAGTATTAACAACTTTACTGTAGTGTCAAACATGTAATGAGTGTAAAGTATCATTCTGCACAAGTTAGTTCAGTAATAACTTTTAATACTAGCATTTGTGTTTGAATCATTGTAGATCAAAGTATTCCGAAATAATATTGCAATTGGCCAAAAACGGGAAATAGTGTGGATTTTGAGTAATATTGCTGCGGGGTCAAGCGAGCAAATCGATATGCTTTTTGATACGGATGGCATTGTTGAACTGCTCATGAACACATTTGATTGTGATGACTGTCGCATTCGTAAGGTAAAATGATATTTTTAAAATTACACAACTCTGTAACAACCAATGCGTGCTTAACTTCAGGAGGTTGGCTGGACGGTAGCAAATGCTCTGACTGGAGCAAATATAGACCGCTCTCGTTGGCTCTGCAGCAGTAACATACTACACATCGTACCGGAGCTTCTTAATTTGCGAAATGAACGCAATTTAATTGAACGTACACTGTTTGCTCTTGAAGTTCTGGTCGAGAAAAGAATTACTCACATACCTGTTCTGCAGTATTATAAAATATTGCAGAAAGTACGCGAAATCGCTGAAAGCAGTCCATTCGACACTATTATCAAGGTTTTCTGATTTGCCTTTTAATCATTTAATAATTTATTTTCCTATGTTATCCCTTTCATTGAATTAAAATTTAGATTCGAGCAGAGCGCATATTATATAAAGAGAATGTCTACAAAAAGCATATTATTCCTGCCAACACATATTCATTGGTTCGCTGAAAATCATGTCATTTTACACCTACAAACCATTTATTTCTGACTTTTCATAACAGTGATACTATTATATCTTTCACATTTTTGATTTGTACACTTCAAATAGAACTGAAGCACTAAGTCTTAATTTAATTGTAATTAACTCATTTCAATTCTATAAATAATGTGCAAGAAAGAAAACTCTTGTATCATTTGTTGTACACTACAGTCGGTAAAATTTTTGTTAATAATTTTATCACATAAAGTCCTGAAAATGACATTGAATTAATTGATAGGCTAACAACAAAATAGTAATGAAAATTTTGCATATTCCAACTTGAAATATATTTTTATTTTATTAGATTGTGATTTAAATGCGAACAAACTTAGTCTTTAAGCTACAATAAAAATTTTCTAAATTGTTTTGGAGAAAATTTGATTAAATGAGCTGAATTGGAATTGTGTGTTTAGGAGTCTATGACATCCTCATATTTTGGTCTGTTCTTTTATGAATTTCCAATAGCTTCATCAAAAGAATGGTTTTTGCTTGTTAATAAGTGGAATCAAGATGTTCATTAATTAAAACACAAAATTAGTTTCGGAATTAGTTTAACAATATTTCAACTTTTGAGCATATTGATTTTGTTTTCGTTGTTATCATTTTCAAAGTAAGATAAGTTAGTAGAATGTAGCTTTTGTAACATTTCAATTCAGTGAACAAATATCAGTGCTTCCTTCTTCATTTGTGAAGGAATTTGGCTTCGAGACGGCAGCTGATTTTGTTCCTAGTGCCTGATTTATCATTGATAATGACTGGTTAAAACGCTGAAAAGTTGATGAGAAACAAATCCAAACAGACATTCGCTCTCTTGCAGTGAACATTTTCCAAGAATAACTTTGCCTTCAGCAACAACACTTCCATTCTCCACTCACTATAGGTGGTGGTTGGCCATGTATCACTTGATTCTACTTCTGCTTATCATCAGTTTATTACTGATCGACACTGTATTTAGCGGTTTGTTCATTTGCATTTCTCACTTAGTAGTATGAAGACAAGCTGGTTTGTCACCCCAATGTAACACTTTCTTTTCATCCTTTCTCTTTACTTCACTTTGCAATAACTTAAAAATGAAATGTATGATGCTATTAAATTTTGGCGCTATAACGAGAAATATTGCTTTAATATTGAACCAACTGAACATAGAAAACATTTTCGTTCTTGGCACCACAAAACATTAGTTTCCTTATTGATATATTCACATTAAATTAATCGAGTCATTCCAGAAAGTACAGTAGAAATCATAAGCTTAAACCCTGATTGAACAATATTCCATTAAAGTATAGACTAAATATTCAACCTAATTTATTAATATCTTAAAATTCAAAATCCAATTTCATTTTTACACAATACATAATTAAATATATAATATTTTCTCATCTCATCCAATTTTAGTGTGCGCACAGCATTTCATATCGGAAAAGCATTTATTCTCGTTCTCTCTATTTGTCCTTATCAGTGGAATAATCATTAATTTATGAGTGCAGTCATTTGAAGTTGTCAGATCGTTCCATCAGAAAAACTTATGACTTCCATGTAGTAATTTTCTAAGTTTCTTGCAGTGAATTTGAAAAGTTCTCACTTTTTCTAAAGTTGCAATAAATATTCACTTTTTAACAAGTTAAA